ATCTCTTTTCCCTCTCTCTGTTTATTTCATTTGAGAGTAGGAAAGTTCCATTTTTCTTTTCTTTTCTTTTCTACGACAAAATCAAAAATACTTATCTGGAATTTGAATTTTGAGCCCTTTTGACTGTCGCTATTTAATTTTCCAATTTGGGGTTTTTTTTTTTTTTGGCTAATGTCACTTTTTAATAATTATGAGTACCTCGTTCAGTTCGCGAATTTGAATTGAAATATGATTTTATGTGAAAATTTTTTATCATAACAAAAAAAGTTAAATGTGATTTTTTATGAAAATTTTTAACGGTAGTAAAATTAAAATTAAAAACTCAAATCGATGGAAATGAACGAAACCATCTTTTTTGCTTTTTTTTTTCTTTTTTGAGAATTTACCTCTTTAAGAAAATGCTAAATCACGGTGGGAAGTAATTAGGCGACTGTTAGTTACTTTAATGCTGGCATTTAGTTAAAAAAGAGATACGAGGATTAGACAGTGGTAAATTCCGTAAAATTAGTTGGCACTTGTAAGAATTTAAGACGTGGGTAGTTATAGTTACAACTGGATTAGTATTATCTTTTTCTCAACCAAAATTTAAGATTAATATTATCCTTGCTCCTCTCTCTCTCTCTCTCTCTCTCTCTCTCTCTCTCTCTCTCTCTCTCTCTCTCTCTCTCTCTCTCTCTCTCTCTCTCTCGCTCGCTGGAACATTTCTCTATTCTTCATTAATCTATGGTGTTTGAGAACCAAGTGGCAAGCAGTTTTGGAGTTTTAATTTGAAATCGCTCCAAACAAGCTACTTGTCACTTTATATAAAGAAGTGGACGTGTTCAAAGTCAGCAAAATATTTGACTGAAGAATCAAAAACTTAAAAATAAAAGAGACATAATTCTAAGGTTACTTGGATTAAAAAAAAATAAGGAAAGAAAAATACGCTCTAGAGTTTTACAATAAGACTTTGAAAATTCAACTAGCGGTGTCTAATATATATATATATATATATATTTACGTTTTAATTGTTAAATTTATATTAAAAATAATATGCCCTGCATATATTTTTGTATTTCCATAATGATTTTGACTATATCACAACAATAAAAAAAAACTTACACTACTAGTAATAAAACTCTACCGTAGAAAAACTCAAACACGCCACTATTTTTACCCAACATCATTTGTTGTGGGTTGGTTATATATATATTAAAAATCAGAAACTGAGGTTGCTTATACTTTAGATATATGGATTAAAGCAAATATATATATATATATATATATGTGGGAACATACAATAAAGTGAGACTTTCCTAACTTAATAATTTAGTTTAATTTTGTTACTAATTTATCGTCATAATATGTATTTTGTTATTGTTATAGTGCGTATTTTGTTATTATTTTAGTGTGTGAGCTATGAATAACCACGTTATCTATAATAATAAAAAGATTTGAATATTTTGACAATTAAATATAAAATTGAGTTTTTTCTTTTTCTTATAGGGTTTCTTTAAATAATTTTAAAATTACATGTCTTCTCTTCCGTTCGAAATAGACCCATAAAATTCTATCTCTATCCATTAACCTTCTCAACCCTACTCATACCCATATATGTTACATAGTACGTGCACTTCTTTCACACTTGTACTAAGTACTAACACACCATTTCTTGTCTCATTATTTGATTTGGCCTTTAACAGAGAAATAGTCATTTCAAATATTGGAAAGACAATTCTACTAAAGTGATGCATGATCCTTTTTAACTAAATGTACGTAAGGCCTATTTCGGGCTTTTTTTTTTGAGTAAAATTTTTTCAAAAAATTTTTTCAAAAAATTTAAACTCAACTTATAACTTTATTTAAATTAATGTTCATTTATAAAATTTGAGTTTGAATTTGAGTTTTAAATTAAAATTTGAGTTTAAGTTTCACCTTCAACTCAAGTTCTTAGGGTCCATTTAGTTCGCTAATTCGAGTTTTTAATTCTAGTTGAGATGTGACTTTATGTGAGAGTTTTTTACTGTATAAAAAGTTAGATGTAACTGTTTCTGAAAATTTTTTACTGTAGCAAAACTCAAATTCTAAAATCGAATTGATGAAATGAACGGGACCTTAAACTCAAACTCTTAATAAACAGTATTTTTCTATTCTTAAAAACGTCATAACTTTTTCGTTTTAATTCTGATTGAGATGATTTTTTTTTTCTATGCGTTCACAATGAAAAGACGAATAAAATCTCACCCATATACCCTATTAAAATTTTTCATCACCATTGAGTTTTTATTAAAATACTATCTAAATACAAATTCAAGTTTTGACCCACTCAAATACAAACTCAAATATATTCTCAATTCAAATCATAATTCAAATGTGCACATCCAAACACAAATTCAAATTACAACATCAACTCAAATTATAACTCAAATTCAACTCAATATCTACACTCAAGTCACCATAACTACAAAATACAACTGAGCAAGCCCTTCATTTCTCTCTCGTGGCGTTGTTCTCTCTCTATCTCTTCGTGATAGTCGTTGTTGCCGTCGTTCCCAATCTCAGTCGTGGAAGATCGGGAATCGTCATTCCTCGCAAGAATTCGTCAAGACGTCTTACTCTCGAACTGTTGTGGCGTCGTTCTCTCTCCACTTTTGCAATCGGAGAGATGATGATCTCTGTCGCCGTGATCTCCGACTGAGATCACATATTGAGATATGCAACCCTTTTCTCCGATGGAGTTTTGTCATGAACGGTAAATTTCAAATCGACAACCAGTGTTTAGATCTGTCGTGGATCGGTCATGGTTTTGCTGGTGATTTTTGTAGATAATCTGAGGCCCCGTTCATTTCACTGATTCAAATTTTAAATTCGAGTTTTGTTATAATAAAAAACTCTCAGAAACAATCACATCTAATTTTTTTGCTACAATAAAAATCACTCACATAAAATCACATCTCAATTCGAATCAGCGAACTAAACGGGCCCTGAGTTTGTGATTCTAATATTTGGTTGAGTTTGTGGTTTTCTTAAATCTGAGTCTGTTTGAGTTTGTGTATTTTGAATGTGTTTATAATCTACCGGTAAATACGGTAATTACTAATCGTCGGAGCCGGTCGCTAAATTTTTTTAAAATTAAATATAATATTTACCAATAAATATGATATTTATCGATAAATATGATATTTATGTTAAATTTTAGATAAATATAATAAATTCAGTATTTACTGATAAATATGATATTTACTAATTGGTGACGACAGTCGTCGGTCACTGCCACTGTGGACTAGAGGAGGGAAAGAAAAAAAGAGAGGTGAAAATGTGAGAGATATTTTTAAATTTTTAATATTATTAAAAACTTAAAATATTAAATTATACTATAAATTACGTATTTTTAAAAATTATACTATAATTTATTAATCACTCCTACAATTATACTATTTCACTCCTTCTCCTTTTTTCACGCACTACATATTTTCTGAATTAATTACATTTGGATTTTGGGCCTCCTTTAGATTCCCTGAGATCTATGTGGTCACCTTTGATAAGAAAGGTTTCTTATGACTCATTTGAGAGAATCCAAAGCTGAACTCAAGTGTCTCCCTATCTGACATAAATCCGGCAACATTGCTTGAAGTGCGAATACTCTTTCTTTCTTTATTTTTAAATTTTTTTTTATTTAATTTCCTATCTTGCACAAAACGATATAGTGTTCTTGTAACCTTATATGGACAATCACATGCATGTCATATACATAAGCCAATACTAGACAACGTTATGCTCGAATCTCTATGGTTTTTCTCTTTGTTTTCTTTCACTCAATTTTCTTCCACTTTCTTATCCACAAAAAAGATGATAATTTTTTAAGAGAAATTTATATTTTTAGATTATGGTAGATCATTAAGATCATGGATTAGTAGACGTTTAGTTTATGAATTCAGAATCATGATTTAGAACCATTCTCAATTTACGTGTATTTTTTACGAGAAAAAACATTATAACGAGTCATGAACTATGATCCGAATTATAGCACGAATCTTTATTCCAAACGCAGTTTAAAAAGAATCTTAAGAGCGGTCCACTTGTTCGTTCAAGAATGTGTATAAATAGTATACCATCCAAACTAGATCCATAACCACAAATACTACTATAGAAGGTACTGTCTGAGTAAGACACCCCCGCCTAACCATATTGCCTTAACTGTTACTTACCACAACACTATCATCAGTACTATTACATGGAGATTTATTGTCTCAAAATGCTATCACTCTCGCCTAGGACTCTTCTGTTATTCTGCAGTTGTGGGAAAATTTTAGCTGCCATAAAAAATCGTTGCTAAAGATCTTCAACTTTTATATTTTGTTGTTGCTTCAAGTTGTCAACAGCGACCAAAAAAATTAGAAATTTATGGAATTCAAATTACTCTTAGCTTCAAAACTAAATTATATTATAAGTGTAAATTTAGAGTGAGGCTGACCTGCAACCGCGACGAAGCCTATGATTTACAAACTCACATAGCTTCACTTAAACAAGTTTTCATTTAATTGACTAAAAAAAAAAAAGACAACACTTTGAGCTAATGAAATATCGATCTGATCAAATTCACATATATATATCGATTGACTCTAAATTTGTAAAAACTTACAAACAATTCCTACAAAATTTAAAGTATTTAGCATTTTTAATCCTTTGTGCACAATCACCATATTGTATGCCACCAAAAAAAAAAACACACAAACCCAAAAAAAAAAAAAAAAGCAACGCATGAATGATGAGGAACAATGCTAAGGGAGGTATCACTTATCAACAGTAAATGCTAATAGAAAATAGGTACCACATTAAAAACGCGAATTGTGGTGCTTAACACGACACAATTCAAAGTATTTTTTTTTTAATAATAAGAACTTTCTATCTAAAAACATTGTAGGTACATGAAGTCCATGCAGAGACAGTATACAAGCTGGTCTCCTTCCACCCAAGCCTAAGCGTCCCATCCCCTTGCACCACCCTATATCCACCGCCGCCGCCCCCAAACATGTTCACTATCAACTGCGCCTGCGCCGCGGCGTTGGCGCTCATCGCCACCTGTGCCAGACACCCCCTCGCCGCCATCTCCCTCCTCCAACTGCCAATCTTAATCTCCTCTCCTGATCCGCTCCTCCCAGCGACCCCCAACACGTTGCTTATTTCCCTATAAACCACGCCACTCTCCACCTCATTCCTTTTCAAATCATCGGTCCCCAAACAAGCCCCTAGAGCATCAGACAGCGTCGAATAGTAATGGAGCGACCCGACAAACCGGTCCAAGAACGACCCCCCATGCCACGACATGTCTTGCTCCACCAGAGTCAAAATCCTCGGCCGCAATTCTTCGACAAGCCTCATCGTCTTCCACTCCGATCCGTTCGCCTCGTACAGGTGGTGCCGGAGCCAATGCACAGCTAGGGCTTCACGTTCGTCGACAACCCGACGGATCCGGACCCGGAGATCCGAAAAGTCTGTGTCTGAGCCGACCGGGTTGAACTCGAAAGAGATCCCAAGGCGCTTCGCGAAACCGGAGAGATTTTTTGCAGCGTCGGAGAGGTGGTCACTTGAGGCGGCGAGGGCGGTGAGGCGTACGTGCGAGGGCGGGCCCTCGGGGCGCGTGGCGAGGGCGTGAAGGAGCGCGGGCCACTGGAAGAGGCCCACGTGGAGGAAGTCGAGGTCGATTACGTGGACGAATGGTTGGCCGTGGAAGGCCTCGAGGATGGCTTGGTTGGAGGTGAAGTGGGCGAATTTGAGGAACGGAGCGACGTCGTTGAATGCTTGGAAGGAATTGCGGAGGAGGGTGTTTTGGTAATTTCGATAATTAGCATAGAGATTTTTGGTCACGTCGTGATAGGGAACGCCTAGGCTTGTGTTGATGACTCGGGTGGACATGGCTTGGGCGAAGTAGGCCACCACGCGCTCGGCGCACGACGGCGCGTAGGGGGAAGCGGTCTCGGAGAGCTCGAGGAGGAGGCGGCGGGCCTCGACGAAGTTATCGACAGATATCGCGACGGCGGACTCGAATAGGAGGGTCATCAGGCTCAAGCAGTGATCATGGTCATATTTAACATGATGGTACTTGATAATATTATTGTTGTTGTCGTTCGAGGTGGGAAAGGTGTTGGCTTCGTTGTCGTTTTCGTCATCGTCGTCGTCGATGAGTTGTTTGGTGATTTGTTCGACCCACTCGGAGAGCTCGTTTCTTTTGTTTAAGTTTAGGCATGGTCGGACGTTTGAGCTGATATTCCAAGGTTCGTGGGTTTGGATCATGGTCATGGGATGATCCAAAGTACTCCCATGATTAACAGTTTCGAAACCTGCTTTCATAAGTGGGAAAGAGGATTGAGAAATTGAAAGTTAAGAGAGAAATTAGGGCAGAAGATGATGGGAGTGGGAGGGTGTTAATGAGGGTTTCGAGCCATTTTTAAATGTGAGGGTTTCAGCAATAATATGGATAGTTAATTAATAATGACCAAAGAAATTAAACTTTTGCTTAATTTTAAATTTGCCTAAGGAAGAATTGTTGTTTGACTTTGCTCCTTAGCTATGACTCAAAATGGCGTAAAAGTTAGAACTCTCCCAAAGTATATCATAAATTAATTCTATCATTGATGCGTTAATTTTTAACGGTTTTAATCACACATTCTCATCTGGTGATCCACATGTAATTAAAATCATTAAAAGATTGCTTTTGCTAACTAGCTAGTTTCATGATCAACATGAAATTAAAACTAAAAAAATTGACGTCTCAATAGCAGAATTACTAAAATTGTAACTTAAAAAAAGAAAAATTTTAAGCACTTTAAATTATACAGGGGAAGAAATGAGACAATTCCTACTCTTTGGACTAAATTCAAAAGTATTAAAGTATGTGACATTACAGAATTTGGCCACTTGTTTAGGAACCGATTGAGGATCGCCGGCATAGCGAAGACATACAGAAAAGGATGAAAAACGAGGAGACAAAATATATTACTAACCCACGTCAGTTTGGTAGTGATTTTTTCTTTTTCTTTTTGTTTTTTTTTTGTTTTTGTTTTTGTTTTTGCTAATGGTTTGGTAGTGATTTTTTCATTACTTAACTGAGAAATATGCATAATATGTTATGTGTGTATTCTCATATTTTGGACTATATTTTAAAGGTATACAAGTCAGGCATTCATACAGGAGGGAAAAAAAAAAGAAATAGAATTGATCCAAAAATAGAAAATACGTATCCGGACGTGGAAAGAGCAACTAACCCACTATACAATATATATATATATATATATATGTATATGTATGTATATATAGATCAGCAAGGAAAATAAGAAAGTATAATTTATTCAGAGGAACTATCACCAACAGTAGAAAGTTTTTGACATCAAAATCAAAAACTTTCTACTGTTAGTGATAGTTCCTCTGAATAAATTATACTTTCTTATTTTCCTTGCTGATCTATATATACATACATACATATATATATATATATATACACACACACATGTCCCGTCTTTTGAAGAAACTTTGGCATATATATCTAGACTGGATATGATAACCGGTTATAAACTTGGAACTTTTCTCGATCTCAAAGTGTCCAATACCAATTGGCTGGTAGTGGTATATAATAAACATATTTATATGATATGATATAACATAATATACAACTCTAATTTGGAACTTAGTTTAATATAATTGAATTCATCTAATTACAATTGGACAGCATTATATTATGCTTTCGCTGTTATAAAATGTAGCAACTTGGGCAAGGAAAGATCTTCACTGGTTGATAGTTTAAGAGTTATCTAATTATGTGTGTGGATATATAATAAGACAAACACAGATAAAAGCAACCGTCTTTGATCGAGTCAAAGCGTCAAATCCGCTTTTCACCCACAACAGAAAGTAGATATAGCTAAACCCTCAAAGTAACCAAAAGGTTTTGGGTTTATTGTTCTGGTCTCAAGTCTCAACCTGTCTCGCCGTCTCGCTTGAAATGTTCTTCAATTTCTTTCGACAAAGAAAAAAAGTTATGAAGTAGGTAATTAGGACTGCACATGAGTTGATGAGTTGGTGCAGAGTAAGATTTTTTTTTTGTTTTGTCTTAAAAAGTGTGAGTTGTACATATTTAATCTTAATAATATTAAATTAATTTCACAACTCAATGATATTTAGATTAGGTTAGGGCGGGGCGGAGTGAGTTGAGTGGTCAGATTCATCATTTAAAAAATTAAAATTTAATCTAACATTCAAAGTTTATCATCAAATAGAAATAATAACTTCAACATTTAAAGTTCATCATCAAATAATACTGATATTCAAATAAAAATAATACTGATAATCAAATATAACTCCAACATTCAAAGTTCATTATCAAATAGAAATAATACTGATTAGTCTATCATCAAATAGATAACAATTCAAAGTTCAATCTAACATCAAACATGAAGTAAAGTAGTCCATCCAACATCAAACATAAAGCAAACATAAATTAGAGGCTTAATTCAAATCCATTCAAAACAAGCACTGCAACAACAACCATCCTTATCAGTCCACACTCATAGACTCCTTATCAGGCATGTTTGTGCGGGTTGGGTAAGGGTATGCTAGTTATTATAGGCTCAACCTACAAACCACCCAAAACACCTCGGGCCAGACATTTATTGGGCTAAAAAATAAAAAATAATACTACAAGTTGCCTTTTTCGGGTTGGGTTGGGTTTGCAGGTTGCTCGAGTTTATGTACAACCCTATACCTAAAGGATTGCCTACGCCCTAATTATATTTAAATTTAAAACCTTAGTATAGAGAACTTACCACCCGATGTAAGTTTGGGCTGGGTTAAACGGGCCGGCTCGAGACCCGTTATTGTCAGTCCGTGCCGGGCCAGGCCGATGTTAAATTTTTTGAGTTTATGACTGGGCTAGGTTGACCCTCTCTTCGGCCCGGTTTGAACATCATATTTTTAAAGATTTAAAAAAAAATACTTTATAAAATTATAGGCCAGATCAGGCCAACCTTAAACTTTTTAGACTTAGGATCGGACTAGGCAAACCATCTCTTTTTTAGAGCAGATCCAGCCTAAAATTTCCCGTCTAAACTTTCACCTCTACACCCCGCCAAATAATTGGTGTAAAAATATTCTTCAATTCATTATTACACGGGAACATAAAATTTAAGATAACCCTTTTAACCTTACAATTAGCTAGCAAATAATCAAAATATCGCATTGTTTAAGATCAAAAACCAACATCTCCTTTACAATATTACTACAGATTGGGGTGATTTACCCATCTTTTTTTCCTTTCATTTTTTTGGTCTTCCAGTTCAAAGCCACATAATCTACTATTGTTAATAATGTGAAGATATTTCTAGTCTGGGAAATTAAGCTTGTCCACTTGTGTCTGCTAACTTATCTATACGTAAATCCATTGGCTCAATAATTAACATCAGAAAGTCATATAAAGAAGGTTACACAAGCAAATGGTGACATTAATTAATTTGTCATAAATAAGAATGATGCGACAAGTGGCAGTCATTTGTCATTTAATATGGGCCCACAGGATTACGCAAGGAGGAGCCATATACAGAGAGTACATTCTTTGTCAAATGAGATTCCAATTCGGCAAATTGTCATTCATCCTACAAAATCTCTGTGCCTTTCTACTTTCTAACAAAATAATAAGAAAAACATCTGATTATGTGTTGCTAATACTATGGTCGCTAACTCAACCGCAAGAGATGACGTCTTTTGGATGACTTACTGCTTCCAGGAAAAATAAAAATAAAAATAAACTCGACAACCTGAAACATTATCGCTATCACCATTGATCAACATTATCTAGGAGCAACTAGCAAGGAAAAGAGAATTACACTAGTAACTTTTGTTGTTCAGCACAAACATTTTAGTTTATAGATTCAGAATTATTTTTATTTTACGTGTATCTTTTATGAGAGAAAATACTGTAACGTACCACGAATCATGACACGAATCTCCTTTCCAAATGCACGAGTACGTGTTTGGTTGGTGGATTGGGAGATTCAAATCCTAGGACAAGGCTGAATCTGTGTTTGGAAGCCCAAAATGAACCTAGTGGGTTAGAATGAACCTAGTGGGTTAGAATCAGAAGAGGTGATTGAGAACCCCCCCAACTTCCACCGACCATGATTTAAAATTATTTTCGTTTTATGTGTATATTTTATGAGAGAAAATACTGTAACGAACTACGAACCATGGCACGAATCTCCCTTTCAAATGTACGAGTAAAACAATGGAAGTATTTAGAATTGATCTCATTTTTATTTTTCACATTTTTTGAAAAAAAAATGGAAACGTTTTCAAAACGGTGTTTGGCGCAATAAAGATAAAAAATAAAAATAAAAATGATTTTTTGGTTTAGTATAAAATGAGAGAGAAATGAAAAATGAATTTTAGTCGTTTTTCATTTTTTGTTTTTATTTTCTCCTATCTCGAGCAAAGAGAAAGAGAAGCATTAATGAATTTTTTATACTAAAAACAATATATTGATAAAACTACCAAATGCATTTTTAAAAATAATTTCTGTCTGAGATTGAAAATGTTTTTATTTTTATTTTCATATAAAAAATAAAATTATTTTAGAACGAATTCTAAACACGTCTAATGTTATTCGAAGCGTTACACTGGGGTCCATTGAAACTGTAGACGTAAATTTTCAAAGGTCAAATCTATAAATGACTCCTTTGAAATAATGCATCATACGACACGAAAACGTTCTCTCACAAATGTACCGCAGAACTATCATATTTTAGGACGGAGGGGGGATTTGTAGTAAGGTAAGAAATAATATTCTATCAATGAAATATAGTTTTAAACAGTGAATCACATCGTAATAATTTAAGGAAATTAGATAAAAATAACTATTGTCATCTGAGTCATACCTTATCATATAATCGTGAAGGAACAAGTACTACACGGAACCTAGAGTTGAAGAATCCAGACGAGAGATGAAACTAACCAAACCAAACCAAACCAAACCAAACCATACCAAAACAAAACAAACAGACAGTGAATTTGGGAAGTAACATGACCATATGCAATTACTGGATATCCGAAAGGGACTAGACTTTCCCCGACAATCCCCAGTCCCACGTCGCATCACTGCGCCTGTCCCAACAGTACTATGTTGATAACACAATCAATCTGTCGGTAATTAAACATTTTGTTTTCTGCCTCAAAAGAAAAAAGAGGGGGAAAAAAAAAAGCTTTCATCAAATAGCTGGCTGGGCTCGGGCCAGGTCCAAACGGCTTACTGTCCAAATGCTCGACGAATTATACAAGCCACACTCTTGCATATATTGGGAACTGGGATTGAAGTTGGTGCTGTTATTTGTGTATATGATAAGAAAGTGGCACAAGCAAATCCCTATTTTGCTAATATTAAATGGCCTTGTTATTATAGAATTGGAGTAAAGTATACATGATATGAGTTTGGACATCTTTGTACACCATTTCGTGAGTTGGAAGAATAAGGAAAAGAGGAAACAGAAAACAGAACATATCATTAGTGAACGAATTACAAAATTAGATTTTTTTTTTTTTTTTTATTAGACTTACAGGACCCTTTCTCCCATAGAGTCAATGCTAAACCGATGCTTCAAAAACCAGCACCTCTGTTGATCAGGCTTTGATGAGCCTTTGGCATTCAAACTTCAAAAGTTTTACTTGCTGATGTAGCCACTGAAAAGGAAAAATTCGGGCGTGGAAGGCAGCATCAAGAATTACAAGTGAGCGGCGTGTGAAGGTCAAGTTCGAGACAAACAAGCTCCTAGTCCATCAGATAGATTGACGGGATTAGGAGTCGTTCAGCTCCTCGGATACTTCTAATTGGGGAGGCAAGAGGTTCAAAAAGCTGCCTTGCACATGTTGATTAGTTGGAGGCGTATCTGATGCCTCCGAAGACTCCGAATCACCATCTGTCGCAAGTTCATCTAAAAAGGTGAGAGAAGGGGGCAAAACATTTCTATTTACCTTGGCGGGTAGTTAAAATATAGACGAATAGAAATAGTAAGATTCACCACTGAAGAAAATGTACATATTCTTTCAGGCCACAATGAATGGAGACAGTTATTAACCTACCAAAAAGGGCTTTGATAGACGGCCTCTTTGGTTTGTTGCTTTTCTTCTTCAGCTCAGCTACAGAGGGAGAGAAAAAAAAAATGAATCCGTCAATCAAACTAGTTCTCCCACTAGCAACTCGAAATTGAATCACTGCAGTTATAAAAATACGAGTTATTCAATGTTTTATGTCAAGGATGTGGATTTTCTGATCTCTTTATAGAATTTAATGAAATACTTCATAAAGCATTCAGTTTCTTTTCTCTTTACTCTGTAATTAGTGTGTGCATCACCTTCTAAATCTTGCAAGTATTTTAGGCTTCCCAACACAAGACAAACTCTTCCATGTTCAGTAGGCTACCGAAATATTAGCACAAAGGAAAATAAGAGAGCAATAGGAAATGATAAGAAGGAGACACACCCATCCCAGGCACTTGATAATCGTTGATGATTTCAAAATTTTTATACGTGTACCCCACAAAATTGAGGTCCTTGGAAGAGAGCATCTGCAGAATAGAATAACAAAAAAGAAAAGGAGAAAGATAAAATACTTTACCAAAAGTAAAACTTAAAAATACATTCATCAGCAAAAATAAACAATTTTGAAAACGGAAAGCCATTACAAAGGCTGGCAGTTTTCCAGAAAGGTACAGACTAATTTTCGTCATAAAGAGATACGAAACCATATTTAATAGGAGTTCCTTTATGATGAATATCATAGTGTGTATCTTGCCAGAGAACCAGAGTCAATGTGAAATGCTGCCTCATGGGTCATGTTAAAGATTAAATGATAATGCCCTGAGAATAAAAGTGCACATATATGTAATAGGCAATAGCCGAGCAAATAAGACTTGTAAGCTTACTTTTCTCCAAGGACCACTTTTGGATGAAGTTTGTGTTTGACTTTCCGCCTGCCAAACCCAAAATAAGCAAAAAGGAAAAATTACCACAACTTGTAAGCAAAATGACTTGCTGCAGCATTATAGCATAACAGATTGCCAAGGAAAGGGCGTCAGTACCTCTTCAAACTTTTCAAAATTTTGGGTATCCAATTCACCATTGACCTCAGGAATAAATGCAGCTTCCATCTGATAGAGCTTGTCCCATTCAACATCTCTAAACCAACAATGAACCTGATAAAGGCATCAACACCAAGGTAATTTCAATTATATGCTACTAGTTTGTGGAAATAAACTATAAGAATCTAGAACAGGACACACCATACAACACCTTTATTTCGTCTGCTCCTCTTGATCCCAGCCTCTGGTTGACATTACACAAGAGTTTAGTAATAAGGTCTTTTGCCTCTGGAGATAGCTTTGCTTCTTCAGGAAACTTCAAGTGAGTTCTCCAATTAACTATCTGGAAATGAACAAAGAAGGGATAACATGTTATTGTGCAACTGGACATTTTCTGATTCACTATCTTCTCCAGGGCGATGGGATGATAATAGAACAAACTTCGGCCAAGAAATTGCAGAACAAAGAACCGTTTAGTTCGGTGATTCGAGTTGAGATGCAATTTTATGTGAGAGCTTTTTATTGTAGCAAAAAAGTTAAATGTGACTGTTTCTGAGAGCTTTTTACTGTAGCAAAACTCGAATCGGTGAAATGAACAGGGCCTCAACACAGACTCGAAATAATTGATATGTTACTAACTTATTAGTTTACCTTCCTGCAGGTTGACATTGGATCATCAGAATAGAAAGGCGGGTAACCCACTAGCATTTCATACATAATAGCACCAAGTGACCACCTACATATCAGGAAATTTCATATCTCTGTCACCCCATACATCCATAAATATCGGATAAATTGATTGGTCGTCCACAAAATTGAAACCCAGAAAGCTCTTAACAAATACTTCCATCATAATGGACAAGGTAGTAAAAATAAAAAGTCTGGGTGTTGAAAACCCAAAAGAATGAGAAACATGCAGGTAAACAGACAGGGAATTCTGTACCAAAAGATAGTGGAACTAATTTGTCATCGACAAAAAAGCAACAGCTCAAACTGTACAACACCCAAAAAGAATAACTACGTACCAATCACATTCCATACCATAACCCTTTTTCAACAGCACCTCTGGAGCAATATAGTCTGGCGTACCAACAGTGGAATAAGCCTGCAGTGCCCAAATAATTTAATTAAAGAAACCAAGTATTATAAAAGTGCTACCACATACAGATTTTTTTAAAAGAAAAAGGAAATTTTCCCCTTGCTTACATTTTCGGAACCAGATTTGACAATAAACAAAAAGGAGAATTGCGTATAAAAGGTAGAGAACTTACTAGCATCCTCCTGTTCTTCTGCCAATGTTGCAGTTGTTCTTGCTGCGTGCGTTTTGGAGCAGAAGGGTGCTGATCACTTTGTGTAACTCCATTCTGATTGTTCCCTATTGAAAAATCCCCTTCTTGGATTTTACTGCAGTCTAGTGGTTTACATAGTCCAAAATCAGACAGTCTCAAATGCCCATATCGATCAAGTAGCAAATTATCGGGCTTAATATCCCTGCAAAAGATACACCAATAAGGTCCCTTTTTTTTCAGATCGATAAATATCACCAATAAGGTTAATCTTTGATCTCCAATCGGAGACAAATCATTTAAATCACATAAAAATGTAATAATGAGACGAATATCCACAAACCTATGAATGTAATTGTGCTTGTGAATTGATTCAATTGCCAGAATAGTTTCTGCAATATAAAATCGAGCTTCATCTTCTGTCAAAGTATCCTTTCTCATAAGTAAAGTCATCATATCTCCTCCCGGTAGATATTCCATAATGAGATAAAGATACTCATCATCTTGAAAAGAACAATAGAGTTTGACGATGTAATTGCTGTCAACCTCAGCAAGCAGATTTCTTTCAGCTTTCACATGCTCAACCTAAAGAAAAAGAACACAATGAGAAAATAATTCCCGCAAGACCGCAAAAATGTGAAGACCCATTAAATGTATACCTGACCCCTGCGAAGCATTTCTGATTTCTTGAGCTTTTTCATTGCATATACTTGACCAGTTGTCTTTTCCCGACAGATACGAACCTGGCCAACAGAGCCATGTTAAAAATACATTACAAACCTAGCAAATGCAATATGACTATGGAAGCACAATTCTGGAGTACAATAACCTACGACTACTTACCAATATAAATATAACAAGAAAAGTATGAGTACATTCGAACAAACAAAATAAATGGGACAAAGTAACATATAATCTTGAACAAAAGTTTGTACCTCTCCAAATGCACCCTTGCCAATCATTGTCAATAGCTCAAAATCATCAGCTCCCATTTTGTGCCTTTGAAGGCGCATATATTCAGTCTCCTTCTTCTCCAAGAATTTAAGAAGGTTGTTTTGGTCTTCCTCAGAGACATCAGCATCAGCCAATTTTTTTTCCAAAATATTTCGTCTGTTATACAAAAAGTATAGTGAAAATGTTGTTTCCATCAAACATCACGCATTACTAGGGTAAGGATCCTATTTACAGAGCATGTTGTTAGATGAATAACTCTATGTCATTGGCTCAACCAGAGATGAATTAGAGAGTTCCGGGTCTAATAATTTTCGCATATACAAATACGGCAAGCACAATAACTACTTATAGCAAGGGGCAAGAGCCTAAACAATTGATCTTTAACTTAAATATATAATGATGATAACAACACTTCAAAAAGAAGCAGAAGTACAATTAAGAAAAGAGACACTCTAATAACAAATCTAGTTGGTGCATCCGTGAGATAGAGGTTTTTTTTCTTTTTTTTTTTTTGGTTAGAAATGCCAAGGATTTTTTTAAACTTACGAAACAGCTCATCAAATAAAGCTATCCAAAAGTAGTTAAATTTTATTTTATTTTATTTAAAAAAAAAAAACAAGAAAGAACTTTAGCCGAAAAATTTAGGTTGATAGTAAAATAAATAAATAAATAATTTAAAAGCCACTTCATTACATACACTAAAATTTTTTTAATATTGATTGGAAAACCACCGAAACCATAAACAGATTCATGTTGCAAAGAGTCAGTAAAGAGAGAGAGAGAGAGAAAAGAGAAGGAAAGAAAAGAAATAACTCTTCCATCCAAATGCAAGAAAAGAATTGAAGAAAGAAACCTGCTTAAGAAGAAATATTTCTATGAAATATAAAAACCGATGTTGCAACAAATTAAAAATAATAATAATCTGGAAACAAACTAAGAACTAGACGTACCGTTCTTTCCTCTCGTGAAGATTTTTCATTTGCTCCTTGTAGTGATTCTCGATGTACTGCTTCGCCGCCGCAACTTTCTGCTTTGTGATATTGGAGAGCGCTTCCTCATCCATTTGCGGATTCGATTCACCGTTATCTCCAGAGCAAGGCTCCTTCTTCTTCGTTGAAGCCCTCAGCTTTTCGCGAGGTTGAAGTTTATGAAACCAACTTCTCGCCGAATCCATTTCCTCTGCTTTCTAACCAGTAATGGTTATGTCAACGAAGAGAAATCTCATCCCTTTAGGACCGATTCAACGCCTCAACATCGCAGACTACGTTCAATTGCATGCCAATCTGCATTGACATCCGCAAAAACACGCACAAATTAAAGCCAAATAAATACTTAAATCTAAATACATCGCCGCATTTTCTTCGCTTTCCATTCCAAATTCAAAAACTAAACAGAAAATCCGGAAAATTTCATCATGATCAAGAACTTTCGCGATCAAGAGAAATACCTATGCGATGAAACCGAAAGTTCTCCGAGTTCCGAGAGCAATTTGCAGCAGAACAAATCGCAGATGCTGAAAATTCTTCGTTTTCGGCGACTGAGAATTCGGCAAGAAAAGGAATGAGATCCGGTAAACCCTAGAGAGAGAAAGAGAAAGGATGAAGGTCAGAACGGCATTTGCGGTGGGGAGGTGGTGTTAAAGAAACTCCGATGACTAGTTTGCTTTTCTTGTTGTGCGCGCGATTCTCTCCTTCGGTATCGTACACAGAGCCACAAGGACAACTCCCTCCATATTTATAGTTATATCTGATATCTATTATATATCCTTCCTTCCCTTCCCTCCGATTTTTTTTTTCCCCCTTTTTTGTGCTCAAAAATCCATTTTCAGCTTACATTATTTGTTGATGCGTTGGATCTCACGAGAAATTGATCCGAGAAGATTCGTTTGGGCGCCGGCTTTCACGTTCTGCGCTTGTGTGCGCATTGCGCACCTCAAAAAAAAAAAAAAGAGCCTCGTTGCGCGTCCAAAGACCCTCGTTGCACGTCCTTTTGGACGTGCGCGGTGCGCCCACACTAGTTTTTATTTTTTATTTTTTTAACATGGTTACATAAATCATTTAAAAAAAATATAGTTTATTAAGAAAACAAAAGTGAAAAAATATATGAAAATGATCAAGCTAAATGAGCCTAACCGTTCTTTCTATATAGTTAATATTGTCTTAATGATCATTTGATCGGTGATTAAGGGAAAAAAGAAAAGTCGGAACTCAAAAGTGTAAATCCCCTTTATTTGGCTTACTTGGTCGAGTTACACGAAGAATGACTCATCAATGTCCAACTCAAAAATTGCTTGATTATTTTTTTAAGGAAAATAATTGCTTGGTTTTCTTTCAACAATAAGAGGAAAAAAAAAATGGTTAAACAGGCAACAACTTACACTCGCTTCAAATGTTATCTTGATTGGTGGATTAAGTGAAGGAATATATACATTACTTGCATCACTAACCAAAAAAAAAAAAAAAGTTACATCAATTTACCTAAAAAAAAATATTGCATTGTTTTGGATTTTGCGGGATTTATACCCTCAATCATATTTTATGCCCTTTAACTTGGTAGTTATTGGTGGATTCTTTTGGTCATCATATTTGTGAAGTTTCTTATAAAAAAAATTCGAAGAATGACAACATATATAAAGTAATTGTATTTTGAAATAGTGGATTGGTTAATCTCTAATGCACTGAAGTTCATGAGTAGTTTTGTTTACCTGTTCACATACTTGAAACAGAGATTAACTCTATTCTAAGGCAAAGCCGGCATGGGCAAGTTAAAGTGCCGTGACGAAAGGTTTCTTGCAATAAGGACATTACCGGGCCATTTTCAACGTATACATCAACAGAAAAAGGAATGGGACACGACACAAAAACTTCCCAAGCATTTTTCCTCGTAAAAACGCCACCAACTAATTAGTAGTAGCTGTTTAATATTCGGAAATACTTATATGATACCTTGATTATAAGGATGTTCTGTATAAAGTCTATTTAGTACTCAGACGACTCAATCCAATTTTTTCCATTTCACCAATTTGGTAATGCAGTTGTGTTTCCTGGTTGCATGCATAACTGTTTACTAGGGTCCGTTTACTTCGTTGATTCGAATTTATAATTTGAGTTGAGATATGATTTTATATAAGAGCTTTTTACTGTAGCAAAAAAGCTAGATGTGACTGTTTCTGATAACTTTTTACTGTAGCAAAACTCAAATTCTAAACTCGAATCGGTGAAGTGAACGGGGCATAATTTCATACCAGACTCCACCACAAGATATATAATGCAAATTGCAACTTTCATTTTTTTTTTTTTAAATTGTAGTTGTGTTCCAAATGTGCAGTTAATCCGCTCAAACCAAGGTACAACAACCTAAATGGACAGTTTTCTAAACTAGTTTTAACGGAAAAAGTGTTTGGTTTGCTTTTTTCATGGGTGGTTGTGAGCAGAGTTGGAGAAGTATTGCCATCTGAAAGTGACTGCAAGAAGAAAGTGGTTGAAAAAGATTAGACAGCTGGGTTTAGTTTGTAACACATTGACATTCCTAACTGTGTTTCCAGTAATGCTAACTCGGTTACTTTGGCCTTGGACACTTGTTAATTTTACTTTCATTTTGCCCCCTATTTTCCCAAGTATCTTCTGCTTGTACACATTTTGTCGTAACATAAGGCATATGCAGCTTTACAAACTAGAGAAGAGTTACCATGATTCTCTAGATTGATTGCGTTACAAGGACACATGTACCTAGGGTTATCTAAGATAATACGCTAAAATCTTAAGGATAATTTGATTGGCTAATGATTACGCCGGGAACGACGCGACACCCACAGTATGAAGTACGGAGGGATCTAAGGAAACCATATGACTCAAAGTCGATTTATGAAAAACAGAGAAGGGTAGTTTTTATGGTAATATAACCATGACATTTTTAGATATTAGGAATTAGGATGTTGAATCATATGAATTCGTTGGTTCAGTTGGTATGCAGTATCATTCCACAGGGTTCTCATGGCTTACCCTCTTTTTAATCTACACAAGGTCCTCCATTTGTTTGCCTTAACTTCTATCCAAAAGAAAACTACCAAAATTGACAATGCCTAGCAGGAGTACACTACACTCATCAAAAGCTAGGAGGAATTTTTTTTTTAATTAAAAAAAAAAACGAGGAGGAAGATATCCAACATGCTACAAGAATTTCTTTTAGCAAAATAAATAAATAAAATGAACAATCTAATAGAGTGAGAATAAGCTTGAGTACAATGTCAAATTGAGACAAACGTTCTAGTATTCAGGTTTTATGATACGACTAATTTGACACTGTCGGTAAGAGATATGTAATTGAAATCATTAAGCTTGAACTACTGCTTTCCTTATTTCTACATTTTTTAAAAGGAAAATTACAAGATGAATTACACAAAACACAGACAAAAAACTACATTGGAACAGAGTTTTATCTGCAACAGGTTGTTCTATAAATCAACGGTAGTATGCCATGTGTCTAGATGAGACAAAAGGAGAGGTACCAAAAGGTGAGGTCTTTTGGATTTGGGCAGCAGGAGGGTTGACGGGTTTTTTCTTTTCCAGCTTAATTTCAGAACGGAGCCACGACTCAACAACAGATAGAAGGTTGGCTGAATTCTTCAACTCGCCAATCTCTGATAACTTCTCAGCCCTTCTAAGCTCACCGTCTTGGATGTAGGCCAGATGTGTTGCCCATGTCTCCAACCCATCAAAGATATGGGTTGCATATACTATTGTCCCTCCTCTCTATAATTAAGAAGACAACATAAACGACAACCACAAGAAGGAAACAGTTTATAGAGTAAAATGTGGCAGGCCCCAATATTTAACCAGACAACCAAACATCACATTATGACATTGTCTTGTCCTAGAAAATGGGGAAAGTTAATGTTCAAGATCTAACAGGCACATGTACTGTCTCCCCATGTATGAGTTCCTCCATGTCTCACATCTGATGTGTTCGTGCATGTAGATATTATAATAAATGCAGCAAGTCAATACCTCATCACATTCTTCCTTGAAGAAATTGAGTAAGTCCAGCCTAGCAACAACATCCAAGTCGACTGTTACCTCATCTAGCAAAAGAACCTGTTAAGTCAACAAAACAGTTGGAAACAGATTAAAATGCTAGTATGCAAAAGAACCTGTTAAGTCATCAAAACGGTTGGAAACAGATTAAAATGCTAGTATGCTGGTCTGGATGTTGTTGGATATTCCCTGAAGTTGAGAGTGCATACTGCATAACCACCATCAAATGTTGTGATGTTCTGATGCATATTGATGCTTTCACTATACCTTAAAAGGTTGAAGAAGTCCCATGCAGATTTGGACACGACGCCGCTGCCCATCCGATACTTTATGCATTCGCCATCGCAGGTCAATATCAAGCAGCTCAATAAGCCTCTCCCTCCTAACAGGATCAGCCCCTTCAACTGCCATTTTAAATACTTAATTACCACCAAACAAACTTTCTATCCAATTTTAAACAGACTAGTGAGTAATGAAATAGCATATGCAACATAACCACGAAATAATTAATTAGCATCAAACAAAAAATTCCATCCAATTTTAAAAAGACTGGTGGCATGTCATAGTATATGCAACATAGCCGTGAAGAGAGAAGATAAACTATCAAACAAAGGACTCGGCTCACTTACTTTAGTGCCGGTTGTGGTTATCATATGATAGCCAACCGTAATAACTTAAACTTACCATAACAGTAAGTGAGACGGACCCTTAAAGAAAAATGTGTGTGTGCATTGTCCCATTCATTTGTGTCAGTAACTTTGAACTGGGTACTAAGACATCAAATTGAGAAAACTATAAACAGAAACAAACAAACGCACTAGACAGTACAGATTAGCAGCTGATCACTCACCTCCAAATATCATATGTTCAGCAGAGAAGTCTCCCTGGAGCGGAATCTCTCCCTGAATGCGTGCAAAAACAAATACAATTTCAGAACACATTTGAGCCGAGACTAAGTTTTAATCAATACAGAACAGAAAACTGGTATCATTCTTATGAAACCTGACAACATTTGAGTTTCTTGCACTTAGTTTCAGCCTTATTGAAATCCTAACTTGAACCATTCCAAATCTATTTGGGGCTTATGTTAGGATTCACTATAAGCAGTAAGCACGAAGCTTGAATTTATCTGCAATTTCATATCCAATATCCAAGGAAGAAGCACTTTGCAACACATAAATTATGCAGTCCTAAATGAAAAAAAAAATTCGAAGAAGCTAGAGATAATATAGAACGGAACTCACAACAGAGCCAACGGTTTTACTCCAAGATCCTCCCAAATAGGCCAAATCGCCGCTACAAACCAGATGAGTGTCGTGAAAAGCCGAGCCATTCAACACCTGCACAACATCTCTTCCTCCGACCATATGCTTACCCGCCAGAATCTTCAGCAAAGTCGTCTTCCCTGGGGAAAAAGAGAGAAAAAAAAGGCTGAATCTTTTCATTTTCCGCAAAAGAATTGAGAATTCTTCACTTGGAAAGTTCTTTTTAGCGAGAAATCGGATTCTCGGGGAAACAAACAAAATGTAAATTGATCAGGTTACCAGATCCATTGGCGCCGACGAGAAGGCATCGAGATCCCGGCGAGATGTCGAGGTTGAATTCCGCGAAGAGTGGCGGTTGTCCGTCGTAGACGAATTGCAGCCCGTACACTTTGATACCGCTCGATCTCTCGTCCCTCTGATCTTCTTCTCCGTCGGCCATTTTCGGCTCTGCAAATCCGATACAGCGGAGAGCTGATTGTCTAGTCTCCGGGACATTATGTACGTTTTTCTGAATCAGAAAGACCAATTATGTACGAACACGTGGAAGGTTTGTGTGTTAACACGTAGCGGACTCTTGACCAGTCACGTGCGTCAAACTCCAAGCACACGAGCCCTATTTTCATGAAAACGTTTGCTTGGGCACAAAGCCACGTACTTCTTCTCAACTTCCCCCAATCGAAGATTAGCAACAAAAAACATCCCCCAATCGATCGTCTGGATCAAACGTCGACGTATTATCAATCGTCGATTTGTTTGACTTATCAGAGCGAGAAAATTTGATAAAAGAGACCGGAGCAAAATAGAAATTGAGAAAGTAAATCAGTTTTTTTATAACAAAAAAACATTGACGTGTATTTTACGTGTCAAAAAATGGGTCCTATTAGTCCATGTGTATGGGTCATTTCAAAAAAACTCTCCCTCACAAACCGACTGACCCTCGACCCTCTCTCCCTCCGACTGAACTCTCCTCACGACCGACCGACCCTCTCATCGGTTTTTCTCTCCGATCTCTCACCGACCGCCAGTTTTTCTCTCCGATCTGTCACCAACCTCACGACCGACCCTTACCACCGATTTCCTCTCACTGGGTTTTCTCTCTCTTGCCGACGTTTTCTCGTCGGCCAATCCTCTCTCTCCGATCTCTCTCGCCGACTCTATCGTCGGCCGACCCTCTCTCGCCGACATTCTCTCACCGACAAAACCGACCCTCTCTCACCGACGACCTCACCAAAAACCGACCGCCTCTTCACCAAAAACCGACCACCCTACTCAATAAAACCGACCAAAAACCGACCCCGACTACTCACCAAAAACTGACCCCCATTCACCAAAACCCGACCACTTTCTCACTAAAAACCGACCACCATTCTCACCAAAATCCGACTAAAAACTGGCGACTTTCACAACTGAAATGGCATCACAAAACAGCTATTCTTCCTCAACTAAGACGGCCATTTCCCGAACACTTGTCGATGAGGCAACGGAACCTGCGCAGGTAATATTCTCTGATTTAAATTAAGGCTTTATTCTTGTTTTACTTTTTCTTATACATTTTTGCAAAAACAAAAACTTAATAAAAGAAAATAAGAATTGCATACATTGGTCTGCTCATAGTCGGTTTTGGTTCTTCTGTGGTATGTTCGTAGTCGATTCTAGGTCGGTTTTAAGTCGGTTATTGGAGGGGTCGATTCTTGTCGATTTTGGTCGGTTCTAGGGGGAAGGTTAGTTATTGGTCGGTTCGGGTCGGTTCTTGGTCTGTTCAAGTCGGTTTGGGTCGATTCTGTCCGTTCTTATCGAATTTATGGTTAGTTCGGTTGGTTCTTTGTCGGTTGGGGTCGGTTTGGTAAGTTCTTGTCAGGTTTAGGTCGGTTCGGTCGGGTCATGGTCGGTTCTTATCGGGTTTGGTGTTGGTTCGATCATTTTGGTCGGTTCTTGGTCGGTTTGGTCAAATTTTGGGTGCTTCGGTCGGTTCTATTCGGTTTGGTCTGTTCTAAGTTGTCCAGACGGTTCTAGGTCGTGGACTGTCAGTTCTGGATCGATTATAGGTCGGTTCGGTTTGTTATAGTCAGATCGAGATCGGTTCTTGGTCTATTCTAGTTGGTTTTGTCGTCTTGGTCAGTTCTGATCGATGTATTTTTTCTTTTTTTTCAGTATGACCTCCCGAAGTACAACACAGATGAACTTCCTGGGATTAGACAGCTAAGGATGATCATGGATCCTATGCAGGAGTACTTCCCAGTGAAAGTCACTATGAAGTCAAAGATCGAGGCCCTGGAGGTAATAAGGCAGAATCTAGACTCTGAAACGAAAATGCCAATTTTTAAGGAATTTGTCTTTGGACATTTGATTTCGATGTCTGAAAATATGATCTATTTTGGAGTGTTGACACACTATCTGCTTTTAAGGCAGATAGAAACAGAAAAGAAACATGAGTTGTGGTTCATGGTTAATGGAAAACCAACTAGGTTCGGAATGAGGGAATTTGCTTTAATCACTGGATTGAACTGCGGGGAAATCCCAGAGCCGGATGTGGTGTTGAAAGCTTCAAAGAATATAAGATTGTTGGAGCATTTTAAGGCCCACGTAGTAATTGTTGTTGATTTAAAGAAATTGCTCACAAAGAACAAGATAAAAGGTAGCGATAAAGTAAATATTGCTATCATTTACTTTTTAGCACAAGTATTACTATATGGGGACGAGAAGAATACCGTCCCACTGGATTGGCTGTCTTACGTCGATGATTTAGAATTCTTTAACATCTATCCATGGGGCAGGGTGTCTTTTGAATGCACTCTGCGGTCTTTAAAGAAGAACTTGAAAGAGAAATTTCAGAAATGGGTTCGAAAATGACGTAATAAGAGCATTAAGGAAACCTACTCAATATGCGGGTTTTCTTGGGCCTTCCAGGTATGTCATACATTTATATGCATAATTTTTAATCATGGCCTTATAGTAAATAATACCTTGTTTTTTATTTTACTAGACTTAAAAAAATTAGTTTAACGCAGGTTTGGGCATTCGAAACTTTTTCAACCATCGGCGCCACGTTTGCAAAGATGGTTGATGGACGTCTTCCTAGAATCCTCAAATGGGAGGCACGCCGGGTTTCATTGGTCGCGGTTAAACAGATAGATGACCTCATGCAAAGTGACGAGGTAAGGGTTTAAATACAATGTTTTTATAGGTATTTTTTTTTTTACAAAATAGGCATATTTGTTTTTTTTACAATATGTTTCCACCTAAATAATCATTGAATGTATGTTCTTTTAATATACAAGGAATGGTCGTACCAATTCTTTATCCCACTGATGAGGAAATGAATAGTATGTGCATGAGGTTGTATCTGCCTTATGCCGACCAAGAAGATGCAAAGATTGACCAGCTTGCATCGTTTTTGGACTCTGGTGCAAGAATGGTCTATGTCCAGCAACCGAAGCCTCCCAAACAATTGGCTCGTCTCCAACAACAACAGCAACTTTCCCAACAACAACAACAACAACAACAACCTCGTCCGCAGGATGATATGTCTATTGATTACATACTTGACATACTCTATCACAGGATGGTAGAGTACAATAGTAGACATTTTGAAGCCATCAACAAGAGGTTAAACTCGCTAGACCAATCTGTTAGAGAAATAAAGGGCAATATAGCATGTCTAGCAAAACAACAGTTACAGCCATAGTCAGAGCATGAGGAACAACTTGAGCCACAGGTTCAGCCATAGCCTGAGGAACAACTTGAGCCATAGGTTCATTCAGAGCCAGAGTCTGAATCCAAGAATGAGAAGTGACTTAAAATGCCCATCAAGTATTTTGAGTTGCCTTACACAGATCCCCTGCGTAACGTGAGGAAGAATATGTGGACCTTTAAAGATACTGTCGAGGCCTTCAACAAGTGGTTCGCTGATATTAGTACATACTCTAAGCTGATAGAGTGCAGTTTTGGTGATTGGAAGAAGGACTTCTTCCGGATCATCTTGAAACCAGGTGAATGGCTGTTCAACGATGTAAGTAATCACAACATAGTTTCTAAATTTATAGTCTTGTTTTTTATACCATTATCATTATACTGAATTTATTTTTTATGACCTACAGTAAATTGACGAGGCATGGGGTCTTTTATCTATGAGAAGGTCACAGGCCAACGAAGGACAGTTCATTAACGATATTATCATCCTAGATGATGTATTTTGCCAGAAATTGAGAGGGCGATTCGTCACTAACAAAAAGAACTTGGCAACGTATACATTTGACAACGACCTGGATGAATATGTCTGTGGAAAAAAGCGCGTAATTTGCTAGAAATGGGATGGCACGTAGGGCTTCACTATGCCTCTTAACATTGAGAAGAAACATTGGGTTGCACTTTATGTTGATTTATCTGAATTCAACATAAAGGTGTACGACTTAGCTATTATGATGTACAGATATCAACATATGCAAAAAAACGTGGAGCCAATCTCTGTCATGATGCCCAAGTTCTTGAAGTACACAGGTTTATTTAACCATCTGGGCGATAAACTTGACTATGCGTGGCCAATCGTTCGTCCTAAGTGGTTGGTCCACGACCTTAGAACAGGTGACTGCGGACTTTTCACATACAAATTTATCGAATACCTTCTCCACAGAATCTTGTTAGAAGAACTCGCTGAAGAACAAGTAGAAACTTATCGGTTGGAACTTGCGGTCGGAATTTGGAGCGAGTACAAGCTTAAAAGGCCCGTGAGTAGTATATAAAATGTTGGTTGTTTTGCTTGTTGTAAAATGTATACAAAACATTATTGGTGTTGCAATGTTTTTATTATTGGCGTTGCAATGCATTTACACTTATTATATTCAACAGATTATTTTGGCTTTGGGGAAGCTTATATTTATGGGGAAATGCTACCCAACTTTTTACACAATGATGTTTTTTTTTTTTGAAAAACTTCGAACTAGTCCCGAAGATGGCAAAACGTGTGTTTCATTGTAAAATCAGGGGGGGGGGCACTGGCGCGCGCGCGAGGGTTACACCGGCCCACGCGTAAGGGGGGCACGGGTGCGCGCGCGGGGTGACATGGGCGCGTTCAGGCGAGGGGGGCACTGGCATGCACGCCTCGCCTCCGATTCACGGAATAAGTAAAATAACATTAAAAGTAGTGGTATTTCACTTTCACCGTTTCCGGCTCCCATCGACGAAGAACAGATTATTAACCGACCAAACAGACCAAGAACCGACAACCAGACCCAGAACAGAACATTAACAGACTAAGAACAGACCAAGAACAGACCATTAACCGACCGAACCGACCAAGAACCGACCACCAGACCATTAACCGACTACCAGACCAAAAACAGACCATTAACCGACTGAACAGACCAAGAACCGACCAAGAACCGACCAGAACCGACCGAACAGACTAAGAACAGACCAAGAACAGACCAGAACCGACTGAGAATAGACCAAGAATATACCATTAACAAACTCTAATAAAACATTAAAAACATACATTTTTACATATTTTTTAATTTTTTAGGTATTAATAACCATTGTAATTTATAAAAAAGAAAAAAATTGGTAAAAAAGAAAAAACCAAGAACAGACCAAAATGGTTCTTATTCTGTTCTCTGTTGTTCTTGGTATGTTCTAGGTTTTTTTTGAGCTAATTTTTTTTTCTCTTTTATAAATTACAGTGTTTATTAATACCCAAAAAGTCAAAAATATGTAAAAATGTATGTTTTTAATGTTTTATTAGAGTTTGTTAATGGTCTATTCTTAGTTTGTTCTTAGTATGTTCTAGGTTTTTTTTTGGAGCCAATTTTTTTTTCTATTTTATAAATTACAACACCCAAAAAATATGTAAAAATGTATGTTTTTAATGTTTTATTAGAGTTTGTTAATTGTCTATTCTTAGTCTGTTCTCGATCGGTTCTGGTCTGTTCTTAGTCTGTTCTTGGTCTGTTCGGTTGGTTCTAGTCTGTTCTTGGTCTCTTCTTGGTCTGGTGGTCGGTTCTTGGTCTGTTCCGTGAATCGGAGGCGGGGCACTGCTCCTCTTTTTGGCCCCAAGGCCCGCCCCAACCGCGTGCGCGCTAGTGCCACCCCGCGCGCGCGCGCCCATGTCACCCTCGCGCGCGTGCTAGTGCCCTCCCGCGCGCACGCCCGTGCCCCCCCTGATTTTACAATGAAATACGTGTTTTGCCATCTTCGGGACTGGTTTGAAGTTTTTCAAAAAAAAAAACATCATTGTGTAAAAATTTAGGCAGCATTTCCCCATAAATATAAGCTTCCCCAAAGCCATAATAACCTGTTGAATATAATAAGTGTAAATACATTATAACGCCAAATTTTTTTTTTCATGAGTACATCGGTGCGTTTTTACATTTCTTCTGATAGTGTCCATATTGCCCACACCTAGCACATCGGTTCTGTCTTCGTGTGAACTCACTTATGCTGGGAATGCGTTTTTGCTTTGGCCTACCCCTCTTTGGTACAACTCGTGGTGGAAGAAGGTGGACTTCCTTTACGTGATTCAGAATATCCCATTGCGAAGTAGCAAGAGCCCAACTTCTGTCCTGTAGTATTTTGAGCATAAATCATAGAGAGATATTCCTGCTTCTCTACAACATGATATTGCATGCTCGCATGGTATCTGCTCAAGGTCGAACACACGACAAGTGCAACTCCTCGCTCCAATGTTGACAATTGCAGTGGCCTCTCCACCTGTCACTTGGAACTCAACAGTATTAAGTCTTTTGGCCTTTAGAAATCTCGCTTTGTTGTGCCTCTCACGAAGAGTTTTTTCTACACTTGGCGTTAATAATGTTTTAGTTTTAGAAGCTTCGACCCGTGATAACTCTAAGAAATTAGAGTTATCCACTGGTTTTATAGCTTAAAATTGCGTGACCATGAGTGATTTTTCTAGTCTATTATGTGTTTTAATTTAGATTTGTAGAGTTTGCACTTACTTTGGCTTAATTCCGTACTGCTGCTCCTCTTAAAGTGAAAGTTGGTAATTTGGAAGTAAAATGAGGTGAAAAACTGACTAAGGCTGTGTGCGCACCTTGCAGGAAATTTCTGGGCTAAAATACTGCGGCATTTTAGGCAACAATCTGGGAATAGCTGGCAGCTGATTGACGTCAGCGCACTAGCTGGAGAAAATAGACAAAAAGGAATCCGTGTGAGCTGGCCGAGGAGGTGTCATTTGGGTCCACTGTGCACATCATCAGTGACACCTCAGCCCTTGTGTTGCCCTAGAAGGGAATGTTTTCTTAGGACAAGTTGGCAGCCACCAGGGGGAGAAAAAGAGGAAGAGAGAGAATCGGACAATAATATAGAAAAGAGGACAAAAACTGTTTTGACACATAGAGAATACACAGAATACCTGCTCTCCAGAAAATAAAAAAGAGCACTACCCAGTGAGGAAAAAGCTTCTTACGAGAGCTGAAGAAGGCAGGAAATACAAAGAGTACTCAGCCCAGAAAAAGAATAAAAAACATGAGAAGAGGGCTAGAAGTTGAAGGACAGTTTGGCCGGCTAGAGAGACTCGCCTGTTATTAAACCACTCTGACATCTTCGCTTATATAAAATTAAAGAGGGCAATGACAAGGTAATCTCGAACATCTTTGAGCATTGCATTAACTGACTCAGACATGTTTGTGGTCATAATATTATATCGATTTCCTTTAAAATGAGCACGAGACCACATTTCAAAACGAACATGCTCCTGTAGGTATCTGGCAATACTGGGATATCTTGCAGACAACTCATCAAACAAGACAGAAAACTCGTCAACGCGGTAGGCCTCAGCGGTTTTAAAGAACAATGGCAGAACACCGCTACATCTGAAATTACTCTTGATGTTTTGAGACACATGCCATGTGCAACAACCGTGATGTGCTAATGAATAAA